TTTAAGTTGCCTCCCTGCTGTGTAAAGTGGTACTTCTTCTATCGGTCCTAAAGTAGTCTCTTTTATGCCTCAAGAAGTTCACTTTAGTTCTAGTTTTCTGGAATTTGATTATTAAGCCTGTTTATTTTAACCATGCCCTTAGTGATTTTATTGATTCCAATTTCATTTCATTCTGAAAGTCCTAGACCCTCGACTATATCCAGGCTAAAATCTTGTTCATTTAGTTCCGTTTTTCTAGGTCTGCTATACCTTCACTCAGCACCCATCAAAGGAGTCCTGGATTGAGCCCAAATTCATGCCTCGGACATGGGTGAAAGAGGCACCCATAATGTCACAGAACATTTTCTACACACTATTATTTCAAGCAGGGAAACCACTTATAACTCTACCACCCTATCCGGATAACTACCTTTACTGTCTAAATTCACTTTAAAAATGACTTAATCTATGCAAAGTAATTGCAAACATGGTCAAGGAGACACTGGCCCAAACATATTGCCGCATGAACTTGTGTGCTTTTGAAGTCATTTTCAATGCACAGCAAATCGTGCGATGAATCCACATTTATGTTCCATGTAAATTTGTTTTATTTTTGATAATGAAGCCTGGAGGAATGATTCTTGAAGTATCATAACAGCACTGACTGACAGCTCCCTAAGTGCCGTCTCTCTTATAGCAGACATAAATGACAGCTCTGTAGGTAAAGAGCATATGCAAATGGATGGGGTTCACACTGAACACAGTGGGGTAAAAAGCCAAAGAAGATACTTGTTCTATTTCTTATTTATTAAAATTCAATCAATATGATAAAATATATGAACTTTGGGAGAATAGATTTACTTGTGGGCTGAGACAGATTCAGTTCTTAAACTGTTAGAGAAGCTTGATATATAGTAATTATGTACTAAAACTGCCTCATATAAATATTTCTAAACGCCAGTGAAATTTACATTACTCATTTTCATACCCCATGTATACTGTTTGTTTAGCTGGGAGTGGTCTATATAACTAGAGCCTTTTTATGTTGTAGATTTAAATTATCAGGTTACTTTTGTGGGCAACCACCTGTGTAGATTAAGTTAAAAATCTGGCCACATTAAAAACAAGAATCCTGCAATGCCACTTCTAGGTATCCACCCCAAAGGATTAAAGGCAGCGACCTGAACAGATACTGTACGCTCATGTTCATAGCACCATTATTCACAAGCCCGAAGGCGAAAGCAACTCAAGTTTCCCTTGACAGATGGATAAACAAAATGTGCTTTAAAAAGGAAGGAAATTCTGATGCATGCTACAACATGGATGAACCTTGAAAGCATGCTAAGTAAAATAAGCCAGTCATAAAAGGGAAAATGTATGATTCCACTTAGATGAGGTAAATATAATAGCCTAATTCACGGAGACAGAAAGTAGAATTGCGGTTACCAGGGGCCGGGGGGGAGGGAAGATAGGAATTGTCTCATAGGTTCAGAGTTTCAGCTGGAGAAGATGAAAAAGTTCTGGAGGGCTCCCCTGGTGGCGCAGTGGTTGGGAGTCCGCCTGCGGATGCAGGGGACACGGGTTCGTGCCCCGGTCCAGGAAGATCCCACATGCCGCGGAGTGGCTGGGCCCGTGAGCTATGGCCGCTGAGCCTGCGCGTCCGGAGCCTGTGCTCTGCAACGGGAGAGGCCCCAACAGTGAGAGGCCCGTGTAACGCAAAAAAAATAAATAAATAAAAAGGAAGCTGCTGGATTTTTTAAAGACCTTTAGAAATCAAAATAATTTATTCACGTAATTTTTTTAACTGAAGCATAGTAAACTAAAGTCAAAGTAATAAATCTTCCGTGGTAATGGTTTAAAGGGCAAGCGATGCTGGCTTTCTTCACATCCCGTCCTTCGCTCAGAGGAAAGGCAGATCACCTGTTCTGGAACAAGCCGGTGCAGCTCTGCGGGCGGGAGACTGTATAGTCTCACAACCTGCAGGCAGGAGGTCCGAGATCAAGGGCAGCAGGGTTAGTTTCTTCCCTGTGAGGGAGAATCTGTTCCAGATCCTCCTTCCTTGTCTCTGGTGGCCTCGGGGGTTCCATGGCTTGTAGACAGCCATCCTCTCCTTGTATCTTTATGTTGTTTTTCCTCTGTACATGTCTGTTTCTGTGTCTAAATTTACTTTTTTTAGTAAGTAGTGCTGAAGTTCCTGCTCTGGGGGCTGCACTGCTGAGGATCACTGGTCTAACACACCCTTGTTACGCTGATTAGAAATGCAGGTTTTCCATAAGCGAAATGACCACCAAGGGTCAAGAGTGGGTCCATGGCAGGGCTCAGAGGGGAACTCTGATTTCTTGATCCACATTTTATGCACTCTCCCTGAAGCATACGGTTTTTGGTCATCCTTTTTTTTTTTTTTTCCTGTGCTGTACAGTAGGACCTTGTTGTTATCCATTCTGTATATAATCGTTCGCATCTGTTAACCCCAAACTCCCACTCCATCCTGCCCCCACCCACATTTGGCAACCACAAGTCTGTTCTCTATGTCTGTGAGTCCGTTTCTGTTTGGTAGATAAGTTCATCTGCGTTATAGTTTAGATTCCACGTATAAGTGATATCATGTGGTATTTGTCCTTCTCCTTCTGACTTACTTCACTGAGTAGGATCATCTCTAATTCCATCCATGCTGCAAATGGCATTATTTCGTTCTTTGGTCATCTTTGATTCGAAGTTCTCTGAAGATCTCCATTGTCTGTGGACCTATCAAGCCTTCGTGTTTTTTCTAGACTGAAGTTTTCCATATTGATCGACAAAGCTCTGCAGTTCCAGGGACGCTTTCTAGGAATCCTTTAAAAATGTGTGTAGGTTTTTTTGTGTTGTTACAAAAGAATTTGATTCTATGAACATTTTTATACATGTATCCTGATATACTGTGCAAGAATTTCTGCAGGGTATATACCCCTAGGAATGTAATCAATAGATTGTAGGATGTGCTCATCTTAACTTTAGATCATTGATTCATTGTTTCCAGGAAAACTGTATCAGTTTACACCCTCACCACCAGCATCTAACACTTCCTGCATTCTCACAACTCGGCAACACTTGGTGTTGTTTGTCCAACATTTCGACTTTCCTGATATTTACCTTAGAAGCTGCTCTAGAACCGAATCCTCACATTTACATGACTCCACCATGTTGGACTGTTGGTATTTTATGATCCTGATATGGGACCGAGGATGCCTGTTGCCTCTGACGTAACAGGTGCTCAGTAAACGAGAGAAAAATTAAATGAATCTAAGCTGTAGTTGTTTGGTAAAATGACATTTTTTTCATAGTTTAAATGTTTATCAGTACATTCCTGATTCCAATCTTTCCTTCTGTCGCCAAATTATGCAGCCAGTGTCAACCTACAGTTACATATTTCTTCCCAAACTCAAAGGCTACACAGGAAATTCAAAGCAGCAGTCCAAGGGTTGCCCCTAGAGGTGGGAGATGTATTACATTTGCTTTACTGTAATCTAGTAAAAGATCATAACATGAATCTTAGAGAAAAAAACTTCCACAATTCTTAATCTTAATTTCAGTACTTAATGTATTTTTCATATGCTCCAACATGTCATTTAAAAAAATGATATAAATTCTGCTTCTACATACTTATTTGATTGTCTTGGTGAAATTTCCACGATTAAGTTCAAAAACTTTTTTTTACACTGTGTAGGAACTGCTGTTTAAAGACATCTATCTTAATAAGTTATAAAGTCTTGGTTCCCGAATACTAGCTCATGGGTCTCTGCCAACTTTGTTTGTTTGTTTGTTTTGCGGTACGCGGGCCTCTCACTGCTGTGGCCTCTCCCGTTGCGGAGCACAGGCTCCGGACGCGCAGGCTCAGTGGCCATGGCTCACGGGCCCAGCCGCTCCACGGCATGTGGGATCTTCCCAGACCGGGGCACGAACTCGTGACCCCTGCATCGGCAGGCGGACTCTCAACCATTGCGCCACCAGGGAAGCCCCTCTGCCAACTTTTGATGAAAGTCTCGCTAGCCTAAAAGGTAACACCAAGAAGAACGAGTGCGAGCTTTGTGTACACATAAATGCACTCCATTTGAAGGACCACACTTCATTCCAAGATTATGTCACTTCTACCTTCTTAATATTAACATGTTCTGTGTTTTACGAAATAGTGATGATAGTAGATGACATTTATTTGCTTGACAACTTGACCTCAGATTTTCCATATGCATGTGTGTATTTGCGTATTGATTTTACTGATCCTTCGAATCTAATTGTTTGGAAACCCTTTAAGAGCGGCTTACTACATCCTGTAACATGTATTTCGTAGAAAGCGCCCTTGGAGTTACTGTCTGGAGCAAACAGTAAAAAAGCCCCAGAAGGCAAGCCATGCTCATCTATATTCATACCCATTTATTTAGCTCTGATTGAGTTTCCAGGGAGGTTTAGTACTAACAGTAAGGGGGTGACAGGCAAAGACAAGTGTCTGTCCTCGCAGGTTTAAGGGTTAGCCTGCGCTTCATACTTAGGAAACAACCAGTTTCCGGAGGAGGGTGGAGACACTGGACCCCGATCCACGTGGGAAGGGAGGAGGAGGTAAAACCCATGCCAGGAAGGGGTCTGCTGGGAGCAGAAGCACGGAGCTCGGTCCTACCGAGCGGAGAGAGGAGCTGGGTGATGATGGAGCGTGAAGACAGGGCTAAGCAGGGGAGCCGGCGCTAGGGCAGGCTGGACGTGGGGCGGAAGGGCTGGCGAGACAGCCACGTGGCAGTCGTTCCAAGGAGACTCGGGGAGCGACCGACTACAAGACGCGCAGAAGATGCGCGATGCCAGGATGCAGACCCACTACCTTTCGCACGGTCAACACCTGCCCCAGGCCGGGGTCGGACACGCCCCTCGGGCTCCCGCACCCAATCAGCGACGAGCCGCCTCTGGCCGCGGGACACGCCCCCCGCTCCAGTGCCTCTTCCCGGCAGCCTCGAGAACACGGAGCCCATCAGCCCCTGCGCAGTCCGCAAGCCCCGCCTTTTCGTCCTACTGCCAGCGCCTCCCGCAGCCAACATGGCGGCTCTACGTGTGTCCTGCGGCGCAGCTGCTTCGTACCGGCTCTTTCTTGGGGGTAGGGTTAGCTCTGCTCGGGGACAGGGCCTCTGGAAAGCCGCGGCTGCTAAGCTGCAGAGAAGTCCCGGATGCCAGGTAAGGCCTGAGAGAGGTGGGAGTGCTGGCCCCTGGAGCACGCGGATGTGGAGCCGGCTCCGTCGCGGTCCTCTGGCGTCTCCACGCCCTCAGACGGGGCCGTGGGGTCTTAGGTGCTCAGCGGCGGTCTGAGGTAGAGAGAGGAGTGGGATTGCCTTCTGGTGCCCACCCTGCACGTTGTTGCTGGTTTTCTCAGGGTGCAGTGAGGGGTAAGTTATCTGAGACGGAACTAGAGCGACCCCTGCCTTGACCCGCCGCCCGGGTGGGTGATGGGTCCCGCCCTGCCCGCGAGCCCCGCGGTCCAGAGGGCGGAGGTGGATGAGAACTGGACCCCTGCAGAGACCCGAAGACTTAATGCAGAAAGTCGCACAGTGGAGAGGAGAGAGAGTGACAGTTTTAAAGTGTCTTGCATCTGTGCAGTTTTCGTTTTCTTAATTTTCCCGGTACTTTGTCTCTGAGAGATGGAGATCACAACTTCTAAATTAAATTTAATCCTGAGGGCAGTGGGAAGCCAGGATTCTAGCTTCACAGCTGATTGGATGATGATGCGATTTACTGACATGGGATCTGAGTAGGAGGAACGAGATTTGAGAGGGAAGGAAACGAGCTTAGTTTTGGATATAATTGTGTTTATTAAATAGTTATATTTGGGATGTCCAAGTGTAGATTTCCAGTAAACCCATAGATAAGCAAGTTAAAGAAGAAAGCTGATTTACAAGTCCTCTGTTACCTTGTAGATGGTAATTGAGGTCTTGGAAATGAATTAGATCATCTAGGGGAGGTTGTAGTGAATGAGGAATAAGCAGAGGGATCGGACCCTGAAGGACAAACAGCAGAGGAAGAAGAGCCACCCAAGAGATTGAGGATGACCTGCCAAAGAAGTAGGGGAAAACCCAGGCCGTGTGGAGGCATAGAAAACAGGAGAGTGTTCCAAGGAGGGAGAGTGACTGACAGTACCAAACACTGTAAAGAAGTCAAGTACTGTGATCAAAAACTGTTGAAAAAGGAGTGCCACCTTTTTTAAAAATCTTCTTTCTTTTATGTTTTAGCTCAGATCAACCAGTCCGTCCATCCATTTATCCATCAAACATTTGTTTTTATTATTTTTTAGCTGGAAAATAGGTTGGAAGTTTTTATTTTTCTCTTGCATCTCTTTTGAGTGTATCCTTTCTGTATATGCATAATTTCCTATAAAAGGGACTGTAGCATACAGAAAGTTCCTATTGTTGACACAACGTGGGGGAGGTGGCAGTTGTTAACTTCCGCTCCGTCCCTGGAACTCCCAAACCTTGGAACGTATGTATCCTTCTGTGTCTTTCTCGATGTTCTTTTAATCATAGACATGCGTTCATACGCATACTTTCAAAAGATGGATCCTGTTCTACTCTTTGCTTCTTTAACTTACACGTATAGCAGAAATCTCTCCAAGTCACCTATTACGTGTGTAACTGCTGTATAATATTCTTTGGTATGAATGTATCGAAGTTAATTTAACAGTTGATGGGCATTTGCTTTGTTTCCTTTTTCTTCCCACTAATAAAGTGTAAACATCCTGGTGTAATTCTTACTACATCGAATACCTTGTATCTGATGCTTTTATTTCTGTAGGAGAGAGTTCCAGTTGTGAGGTGATTGCTGCAAATGTCAGTAGACATTTAATAGATGTTTCCACATAGTTCTCCAGAAAGGCTGTAGCAATTCACAGTCCATCGTTGATGTAAAAGCATGCCCTTCTTTCCACCTGCATTAGGTATTATTATTTTTTTCGGTAAGGTGGATGAAAAATGATTTTCCTTTGTTACTTTAATTTCACCTCCCTGACCACTCCTGAAATAAATAAAGCTTTTCTTTTTTTCCACCCATATGGCAGACGTTTACTGAGCAGTTCACTTGAGCCAGGCACTGCGAAGTAAACGAATCATTGAAGTCAAACAATTACTAGATGGTGTCCACCCTTAGCACTCTCAAGGGATGGTCCTGAGATGCTGAATCCCCAAATTCCTGAATACCTCCACAGCACACGTGTTAGCACATGCAGTACAGCTTAGATACAACTGAAAGACTTAACTGACCCCATCAGACCCTTAATGGTTCCTTCTGTATGGCTAAAGACATTTATAAAGCTTTTTTCCTGGCCCAGAGCTTATCTGTCTTAAATATTAGCATTTCTTCACTTCCGTCTCCAGTATTAATCATTATATTTCTTTTAGGGGCCATGTTTCATAAAACAACAAAGTTTTTAATCACTTTATGAGTTGCTGAAACACTACACCTGTTTTTTGTTTAGTTTGGGTCATAACCCATTAGTTATGAAATCTCATAAGAGATTAAAGAAGGGAGTAGAGAGAATAGAATAATTATAATAATCAAAGTCCATCTTATACAGGGTATTTTTGCCTTTTGCTTATGTATATATGTGTGTGTGTGTCTGTCCTAGGGGGTGATATAAGCAGTAGCTATTACTGTGGGTCACAGTCAAAAATGTTTGCCACTGATGCAAAAGGAAAAAGAAACAAGTTCTGTTAAGCTGTGGCTCCTGGCTACGCAGTTGGGAAGCTCTCCAGGTTTTCTCCTGCATACCAGAATTGTGGCATACACGTTTCATGTTAATGGCTCAGTACAAGTGCAGATATCTGAGTGTCCCAAATTTGGGGTGGAGGAGGGAATATTACTTGGGAATGGCCAAATTTTTCTGGTTTTAAACCCGTGAATATCAAGGATCTACACACAGTGTACTGTGAGATTTACAAAGGTAAATACAGAAAAGCACAGAAGTGCGGTGCCTAATACAAATGAGTTGTGATGGGTAGAGTGGTGGGCAGCTTCTCAGAGGAGGTGTTGGGAGAGTCAGGAGTTATGTGAGAAAAGAGAGGTATTCTGTTCTAGGAACATGTAATAGGTCCACAAGGGACAGGGATGTACAGAGTCAGTGGATTCTGGCAACAACAAATAATTGGTTATAGCAATTATAATTGGTATAATAATTGGTGAGAGAGCGGTGGGACAGGATTGGAAAGTGTATGGCTATGTGAAGATACTTGAATTTTTTTTTTTAAATTGTCACAAATGAAAGTAGTTTTGGCTTTATTATAAGCAGTTTGACAGTCATGGTGTGATACAAAGGTTACCCATGAATTCTTTTTTTTTTTTCATTCTTTTTAAGGGAGTGGCGTTTTACTCTTCCTTCGTTGTGTGTCAAATATCACAGCAGCCGACATTGATCAGTCGGTATCAAATGTGGATGTTTGTAGCAGACACGGAGGTAGCATATCACTCACAGTTATTTTTTTATATTATTATTTGTAATGTGTTGAAATGCTAGTAGTTTCAACTTTGTAAGCAGAAGCTTTTAAAAGCAAGCTTTCTAGCAGGGAACAGTTGTCTTAACAAGCCTTTACCTTGTCTCCAGACTCCTGCCAATTGAGTACCGTAATAAAAAGAGAGTTATTTGAATGTCTTGTTTTATTTAGAGACGGTGGCCTGTAAGATCATTGTTTAATTTAAAATCTTTTCTTTCCATTTGTATTTTCTCCTAGATATTAAGGTTAAGACACACCACAGTTGTAACAACAAGGAAAAATGTTGCGGCCTTAAGACGTGAAACTTACACAGTGGATTTTATTAAAAAGCAGATTGAAGAATTCAACATAGGAAAGAGACACTTGGCCAACATGATGGGAGAAGATCCAGAAACTTTTACCCAAGAGGATATTGATGTAAGTACAGTTACTCTGTTGGAAAAGTAATTGTTGTAGAGTTTTAAATACCGAAAGCTGTCAGACTGTCAGAATAAGGAAAAATGCCACTCTACTATTTTGCAAGTTGGAACTGTGGTTTCAGAGAGATGCTACTCTGTATTTGAAGCATTATAAAGTATAGTGAGGTTTAGATTTTAACCAGAAATGGATACTTTTCCTTGATTCCAGGTCACAGGAGCCACAATGAATGTTTATACACGACTTAGAAACATTTATCCTGTTATGTAGTCTTAAACTCAGCTTTCTTACAAAATGATAAAACAAATGGTAAGTTTATAGGAAAAATCCCATAAGTAAACCCAAGCCCAGAGTTTTTATCAACCTAACTATATATTTGAATTTTCAAAGTGAGGGCATGTTCTGAGTGATTTGAGAGTAGGGCTAAAATTCTGTTCCTGTTCCACCTAGTGCTAGTACTCTTACTTTGTTCTTCTTTTTCAAGGTCATTTTGTCCGTTCTCTGCCCTTTGAACTTCCATATGAATTTTAGAATGAGCTAGTCAGTTTCTTCAGCAAGCCAGCTAGGATTTTGATAGGGATTATGTTGAATCTCTAGATAAATTTTGGGAGTATTGCCATCTTAAGTCTTCTGATCTGTGATGATGGGATGTCTTTCTGTTTATTTAGATCTTCTTTAATTTCTTATTGTGATGTTTTCCAGTTTTCAGAGTTTGTTTAGCATTTCTTTTAAGTTTATTTCTGAACATTAATGGCTTTTTGAAGTTGTTCTATTGTAAATAGAATTGTTTTGTAGTTTTTTGGTGGATTTCTTAGGATTTTCTACATATAAAATGTTGCCACTGACAAATAGAAATAGTTTTAGTTCTTTCTTTCCAATCTGAATGCCTTTTATTTCTTTTTCTTGCCTAATTGCCCTGGCTAGGACCTCCAGCAAAGCTGAATAGAAATAGTGAGTGGACATTCTCACCTTGTTCCTGATCTTAGGGAAAAGCCTTCATCTTTCACCATTGGGAATGATGTTAGCTATGGGTTTTTATAGATGCTCTTTATCAGGTACTGGAGATTCCTTTCCATACCTAGTTTGCTGAGCATTATTATCATAAAGGGGTCTGGATATTGTCAACTTTTTTTTTTTTTGCTTTTACTGAGATGATATCTTTTATTGGTGTGGTATATCACATTACTTGATTTTTTTTTCGTTTTCTTTATCTTTTTTTTCTTTATTTATTTACTAAATTAAAATAGGGATGACTATCTCCATGTTGTTCTTAGGACTAAGGAGACAAATACAAACCCCAAAAAAGTTTATGACATAACAAATCACAAAGTCAATCATAAAGGACAAACTTGTTTTACCTGTAATTTGTTCTGGGAATCATGGAAGCAAATGAAGATTTTTGTTTTTTTGTTTTTTAACATTATTCAGTGAAACATTACTTCTTAACAGCCAACCCCTTTTTTTTTTTTTTTTGCGGTACGTGGGCCTCTCACCGTTGTGGCCTCTCCCGTTGCAGAGCACAGGCCCTGGACGCACATGCTTAGCGGCCATGGCTCATGGGTCTAGATCTTCCCGGACCGGGGCACAAACCCATGTCCCCTGCATCGGCAGGCGGACTCCCAACCACTGCGCCACCAGGGAAGCCCCAGCCAACCCTTTTAAACAAAGTGTTAGATGTCAGTTAAGACTCACAAGAATCAGAGATTCTAACTATATTTTAAAGGATATGGGTTATTTATTTATTATTTTTTGCATCAATTGACTTAGATGTTAAACCAACCTTGTGTTCCTGGAACAAATCCCACTTTGTCAGGGTGGGTCATCTTTTTTATGTGTTTCTGGAATTGGTTTGCTAGTGTTTTGCTGAGGATTTTTGCATCTAATTAATACTTATCTGTATTTTTCTTTTCTTGTAATGTCTGTGATTTTGATATCAGGGTAATACTGGTCTCACAGAATGAGTTGGGAAATTCTCTTTTATTTTTGGAATTGTTCGTGAAGAATTGGTATTAACTCTTCTTTAAATGTTTGGTTGAATTCATCAGTGAAGGCCTCTGGGCCTGGGATTTGTGTGTGTATTTCTGTTTTTGATTTTTGATAATTACTGTCTGCTTTTAAAAATGGTCCTCCCCTCTCTCCTTGTGATCGGTGTGTCCCTGAGTAACTGTTCTCAGGAAGAGGATCCCACTACCTAACTGACTTTACCACTAAGGCATTTTTGAGCATCTCTTCACTACCTTTTTAGGTGTACGTGGAATATATTTAGCTCAGAGAGAGAACAGAATCATTCAGTAGTTTTGTAGATCTCTCTGAAGGGATGAGCACTTTCACGACATAAGTATTACACATGAATTATGTTGTTTAGAGTGGTGTGAGATCATTGTTTGGCTGTTTAATCAGAGTGCTAGTTTGAGATGTTAACTCCTCATGAAAACAGTTCTAATCTTTACAGAGTAGACATGACCTATAATTTAATTCAATTACCTAGTTAAAAGTCTAGGCTTGCTGTATAATTTTCACGTAGGTAAATTAAGTGCCACTGTATTCAGATTAAACCATTCGTTATTATATGAATTTTAGAAACTGGTTTTTCCTTGCTACTAACCAATTGCTAAAATAATGATTGCTGCAATCATCTGTGAAATGCATTTCGGCAAAAATATTGAAGATCTAAAACAGTTTTTTTCATATATTAAAATACTTAAAAATTTTTTTCTTTAAGGGGTTTAAAACAGACAGACATTGGTGTCTTCATCTAAAGGATCCTTTTTGTATTATTTAGAGAAATCTAAAAGATTCTGTCATTCAGTCAGGTAGAAACAATATTTTTAGTTCTGCTTCTTAAAATATTGAGTTGTTTCCAGAGAAGGTGTGTTTAACATCACACAGTAAATGTGAGGGGTGGCAGCTTTTCTGTAAAACTCTGTGTGTGTGTGTGTGTGTGTGTGTGTGTGTGTGTAGTGAAAGTAAGTTGATGTTATTTTGTGTCATTGTGCTAATAGAACATAATAAAAATCTTCCTTAGATTTAGACAATAAAGTAATGAAATCATGAATTGTTATGAAAAAAGTCCAATCACTTCTTTAAAATATGTAAAATGTTTTAAAATGAAGCTGGATTTCTTGTGGTGAATATAGATGCAGAACATGTAGAACTTTGTGGTTAAATTAACATTCTTTTAAAAGATAAATTTGTTGTAGTTGAAGTGACGTAGAAAGATGCAGAACCTGGCATTAGGAGAGTCCTTGCAGCATCACTAACTCGCATTGTAATGTCGGACCAGTCACAGCACGGTCACTAGGTTTCCTCATCTCTAAAATAATAATACCTGCTCGCCTACCTCAGAATATAACTAAGGAGCGTGAGATTAATGTGTTATGTTATTGTTCTTATGGCAGATTTTATTGTAATAAATAAAATCTACCATGACTTGAATCAGTCACTAGTTTTCTGATTGCCTTGGTCATACAAGTCTTCCATGAGACAGAATGTTGGGGAGGAGAATCTGCAGTCCTCTTGGAAACATTGATTTATCAGGAGCCACTTCAGCCAGAGTTTGTATTGTACTGTAGGGTGGTGTGTTGTCTCACCTCGCTCATGTCTGAAAGCCCCGTGGAAGTGTGATCCCTTTTCCTTGACGTGGGCCACTTGGTTCTGCTGTGCTCGACTTTCCTACAAATGATTGATGTGCTTCACTCAGTCTCATGTTTTATGTCAATTACCTCTTCTGGCATTTTATTAAATTAAGAGGACCTTCTTTGACATCTGAGTAGATGTAAAAGCAAAAGAGGACGATGCCAGCCACTGTTTCCAAAGCACTGAAAATATATGGGAATTTATCATTTTGTAGTTCCTGTTTTCATTTATTTATTTGAAACTATTATTTTTGTAACAGGTTTGGCTGTGTATATAACCTGAAAGAGAGACAGTATAGCTAGGTCCTATTTAACATTTCCATACTGACAGAATGCTTGGTTATTTCTAAAGACAAAAATAAATAATTTGATATCCAAAATCAGGAAAATATTTTAAGCTTCCAGATAATCTTCAGAAGAACATTATGGTTGCTATTACGTATTTAGATATCATGAATGCTTTTTATAATATGTTGACTTTTAATATATAAATTAAAACTAGGTATTGTAATTTGTCTCTTAATAATATGATCAGGAAATTAGATAGTCTACAAAAGGGAATTTCCTAGATGAGAGAAACTTATTTTTAATCGTTATTTGAAAAGAAAAATACCACCACTTACTGAAAACCTCGTATGTATGTGCAAGATGCTGTCTGGGAGCCTGATATACATTTGCACATTTAATCTTCATAAAAACCTACAGAGTAGGTATTTATTGTTGAGGAAATCAAAGCTGTACACGGTGTTTCTGTATCCAAAGTCTGTTTTTTCCACACTTTCAAAGATTAAATTTTTTGGTAGCATGTTCTAAAATAAAGTGCAGTCTCCCCAGCCTTGCTTCATAGAATATAGAGAGTATAGTTTAACCTTTGAGAGCCTCAGGATGTTCCTGTTGAGAGTGGTTGTTAAACTGCGGAGCCCCGTAGCGTGTGCTTGTCGCTGTAGCGAGTGGCCTGGCTCTGCCCTGTCTCCTTTCCTATCAAGGTGTCTGTCTTTGCCTCTTGCCGCTCCCTTTGCCTGCTGGCCTTCTGGCATAGCTAAGGTTGTTAGGCGTGTGGATTACAACTAGGAGCCACTGGACTCTGCATGAGGAAATCATGAGTTTACAGTAGCTACTTCAGCTCTTCATAGGCCTTTTTCACTGATGTCTTGGTTTACAACTTTATTCCAGAAGGTTGAGCTTGAATAGAAATATGGCCTCTGGCCTCACTGAGTGAAGTGTATACAGCTTATGTGTGAAAATTACACCTGGGTAATCTTTTATGCTAGTGCACCCTTAATTTAATACGCCTTTAAACAATTGTACTGTTGTGGATTAGTGAAAGAAAAGGAAATGTGACAGGTAAACTTTACGGATAAAAAT